AAATTAATTAGTATTATAATGAGATAAAATATCTTTTCGTACTTATGTTATGGACATATTAGACCAATCGGCATATGAAGCTCACGAAAAGATATATAACCCCAAAACTAATCGCATGATAATTATAAATGGATTAGTATATTGTAAATTGCTACTCAGAGGATATATGCATTGAAGAGAAGAAAGGCTTTTAATCCCACCTTTACATGAATTGCCAATATTAAGAAGATATCTTTCTTTCATTTCCTATCATATTTGAGGTATTGTATCAGAAAGAAGTTTACTAGCAGTGGTTAACGAAAAAATAAGCCTATTGCAGATTTTACTCAAAGCTAATTGGCACAATCTTACTTTATGTCAACTATTAAAATTATGCTGGAAGCGTGAAGAGACGAAAGCTTGGAGGAGTAACGTACTTATGAAATTCCTCCATCATCCGAATTTAGCTCCTTCAAAGTATAGACCAGAAGCTTTATGTGATGCATTTATCAAGACAAATGTTTTAGGGCTAGAACATATATTAACTCTAGTACGAACGTTTTACTAAATATTACTATAACATTTCAGTCTTAGATCATTCATAGCCTTGGAATGGGAGTTCCATGACTATGTATTTTTTTTCACATATCCTATCTACCCGCAAATTTCAAATATATGTAAAACATTCTGACTAGAGCGAGAATTATAATATTCTTTTTGCTCACCGACAATGATGTAGTGAAATGACAGGATATAAATTTTCAAATTGAACTTTTTTGTATGTAATATAAAGTTGATACATTTTAATATTCTTGACTATAGTGCCGTAAAAATAATATGGCAAAAGTAGCTACAGATTTTATAGAACGCCATAAATGGATTTCCGAAACTCCATCATCTGAACTAGCCAAATACACAGAGGAAATTAACAAAAGTTTGAAGGATGATTGCAAGGTAAGATTCAATACCAAAACACGTTTTTGACAATTAAGGCTTACTAAGGAACAAGTAGAAGTTCTCATTCCTATTCGACCTACTGGAAAGCATGAAGAAGGCAGGGATACTGTTGATAAAATTGCTCAAGAAATTGTAGATAATGACTTTTTACCTGAGAAAATAAAGGAAATTTCAAATGATCTGGCCGGTTCTGCACCTAATCCAGTCGCAGGAAGTTCTCAGCTTACTTTATTGCAAAAAAAGTTACACGATCGTGGAGCTGATCATTCCAAAAAAGAAGCGACCAAAATTTCACATTACTACAGAATCGAATAAAATTCAAGCACACCGGCATATATTTGATGAAGATGAGAGCTTTGAATGTCCTAAACACTACTACTTAGAAAAGGTTCAGGAAAGACTCGACAAATGCGATATTTCTCGTCTCCTTCTAAGAAAAATCTGGTTGATATAATGATAATGTTATCTATGTGACCGGCAGATGTTGCTGGTCTTTCTATTGAGAAATATGATACATCAGACGAGATGTGGTATAAGTCCAATTATAGTTGGTATTGTACTGGTTACTACAAAATTAAGGGTGAAACAGGATCAGGAGAACCCTGACCTTTCTCTCAATGGAAAAAGATCTAATACGAGCAAAAGAGTTGCTCACCTGGATTCAGAATGCAATATCGGAAAAATTCACCTTCTTACAAAAAAATCGTAGTAGTATAGTTAACGTAAATCCAATTAATACTACTATAGCTGAACACAGAATTACTTCACGTAAATTAAGGGTAATAGGTGCGGACCATGCTAGCAGGATCCATGAGGTAGAAATGATTCTTATCGTCAATATTTGCAGAAATTGGCTTGCAAACAAGTAGTAGGCAGAATTGTATCAGTAGAACACTACGGCATAATGAACGATCCACCTTCTTGCAATTATTTGAAGAGATTAGAAGATCGGGCAAAGATAAAAGAAAAAATGGATTAATCTTATTGATATACTGTAATGGTAATAATGTTCTGGTTGATCATATGAGTCCATTTCCTCCAAATATATTATCCTGATAAATGTCAGTCCGCAGTGATAGAGGTTTATTTTTTATATTTGGATATTATATATGCCATAATAAAAATGGTATTCGTAAATTGTGTAGTTGAAGAAAATATCCTTATCGAGACATCAATTGATACATGCGTTAACGTAAATTGCATTAGCCAAAAACATATTGGTGAATTAGGAAATATATATCATGATGAAAATAATAGCATTAAAACTCCAGATGCATCCTATTTCCGATCGAAAGGTATTCTAACTATATAAATAAAACAATATATACAGATAATTTACTTGATCTTCTTCCACCAGAGATAATATCATTTATTCTAAAGTATAAATAATATATGGGAAAGAGAGGCAAATCTTGAATTGCACAAAAGGATGGAATTTTTATTTGGGAGAATAGTTCAAGGTAATTATACAGTAAAGGAATATTATTTGAAACTGAAAGAGTGTAATTTAAGCAAAGACTAGTGTTATTAATCAGCGCAAAAGCTTGGCCTAGCTTTCCTATCCGCGAATCATAGACTTTGGCCAGGCTAAGTGAAACCAAGTTGATTAACAACACTAGCAAAGACTATCCAGAACAGCTTCTTAAAAATCTATTCCTCAGAGGATTATCACCTGAGAATGCATTTAAAGTTCTTTTGGATGGACTAGAAGTACTTACGTTAGATGAGATAGTGGAAAGACTTAGCCCAGAGCAGTAATTGTGTAATTTTATTTTTTTGTTTAAAGATACAGCATATATTATTTATGGCCCATATAAGCATTTTTAATATACAGGAATTACTAGAGCAGATTTTATATTTCTTAGCGATAGATAAGACACTGTATCCTGCCCTATTTGTTTGCTGACTTTGGTATAGATGCGGTGCTCCTATTTTATGGAAGCATGTTGAGCTAAAGGGGAATGACTTGTACAGTTATCATTATTTTTCAGATAATTATAATTATTGTGTGAAGGATCGCTCTCAACTGGAAAGGTTTATAAAATCAGTATATGGAAAGCAAAAGTCAATTTATAGCTCAAATCTAATGCATCTTGAAATTACATACTACCATTCACTTTCAGATAACAAAATCAAGGGTATTACAGATTCGTGTCCAAATATAATTTATTTAAATTTTAAGAGTAGTATGAGTTTTAGTGATAATGCGTTAAATCTAATAGCAGAATCATATTCTAATTTAAGATATCTCAATTTGTGAGACACTCGAGTAATAACTGATAAGGGTTTATACGCAATTGCACAATCATATTATAAATTAGAATATCTTGATATATCTTATTGTAGAGAAATTATTGAAAAATCATTGTATAGAATTGCAGGAAGTTATCATGAATTACAAGAGTTTCATTTTGCTGAAGCACGTTAGATCACGGATAAATCTATAAATTGCATCTTAAACTCATGCATAAATTTACAAAATCTTGATATTTACATAGTAAGGGAGATATCAAAGATGCTAGTATGTTAATACAGAGATGTCTCAGCATAGAGTATCTTGAATTTGCTGGTGTTATGGCTTTATGGGATGATGCATTAATTGTGACTATCATCAGAGCATCTCCGAATTTAAGACATTTAGATATCAGTCATAATGATATTGGTGATGAGGTTACTGGAGCACTGGCTCATACTTGTCATAAATTAGAATATCTCGATCTGGATTGCTGTAAATTTGTCAGTGAATTCTCAATTTGTAATGTTATACGTTCCTGTCCAAAGCTCCAACATCTTAACCTTAGTTGCTGTAATATTACCAGTATAGCTATCAAAGAAATTGCTCGCTCATATCTCAATATAAAATTTGTAAGTTTAGAAGGATGTGAAAATATTAGCAAAAAAGCCATGGACTAGCTAAATCCAAATATTCATATCGAAAATTTTGATGAAGATTACTGCTGTTCTGATTCAGAATCTTCTAGCTCCAAAACCGAATCAGAGAATGAAGTTGCCTATGATAATGATGTATCTCCTCCGATGATTATGGGTACGGCTGAAACTCCAAATGATTTTATTATCACATTTAATGATTATTTTAGACAGGCTGGTGATGCTCAGAATATTATTTCTGTGTTTCTTAGTTAGGAATTAACATAGCCCTCTACCGGAATGGTGGTACTCTACTGATCTAACTAATCTGGAGCAGTGATCTATCAGCTCGAAAGAATTTGCTAAGCCATAGATTTCTGTGTAATGATGTAATGGCCGATCACACGATCAGTCTGTGAAACATTATTTTTTTCACATATATCGAAAGTTATATATACTAACTAATACCTCTATTTTTTTCCCAAACAAACATGAAAAAAATGTGAAAGGAGGTCTAATTGCAACGCAAGACTAGCTCTAAAAGTAAATATTAACGTTAAAAGCATATGTTATGAAGGGCTGAGGGACCTACAATTTTGAGATCGCCAGGCGTAAGACCAACTATGTTTCTCTCCAGTAGATCTCCATGTGAAAAGATACGAAAGTTTTATTTGCATGTGCTTTCATGAAACTCTTGGCATCAGACGACAATACTAATTATACCATATACCTCCTTATCTTTTTTCCTTCCCAACAGCAAAATATAAAGCATGTAGAGGTATGTGAAAGTTCAGCCAACTTTTCGCAAAAATAATATCCGTAAAATGTCGCAAAATAAGGTATGTATATACTATGCGAAGTGCCTACCCTGAGTGCTTTCAGCCTGGCAAAGTTTTGTATACATGCAAGCGAAAAGTTCTCACAATGGACCATGAATTTAGAAAAGTAAGAAGTCTAGCACCTTTACTTGCTTCGTTCGTAGTGAGGTCAAAATTTTCAATGTAATAATTGATAGGGATTTGACCATTAGTGACCTGAAGTTAAGATCAAAACTGACCGGCCAGATTTAGAAGAAATAAACATTGAACTATATAGGAAAGATTTCTTTCAAGAAAATAATGTTCTAATCAATACTGTGAATAGCGATAAACCTGAAAAAAGACAAGAGGTATGGATGGACCCGCAAAAAAAATTTCTCAATGCTTTTCCTTGGAAGAAGAAGACTTTGCATCGCTTTTTCCTCTAGAAGAAGGTAAAATAGCCGGCTTAAAACCTATTAACATCATCATATACCCCAGGTGGAGTTGGAAAAAAAGCCTCCCTCGGATATTGGACTCTAGCGAATCAGAAAGTAAACTTCGCGCGATCCCTACAGGAGATTCGCTTACGTTGTCCATTTTCTGAAATAATTAGTATTTTTTATCATGCTATGTAATAGTTTTTATGTAATGTTAAGTCGGCTACCGGCAACGTTTTTATTTAATAAATAAAGTATGTAATATGAGTTCTCTAAACGAACATCATTATTGATAAATTACGTGTAATGATGCGGTCCAGGACTAGTTGAAGACGCTAAAGTATAAATCTAACATTTTTATCTGAACAGCTTTGACAGGGTGCATCTAGCCTATAAAAGAACGTCAAGTGATAAGTGTGAAGAATCTTCGTAGTTAGGGAGGCGCAGTGGTTAAGGCGATTGTTGCACCTATGATGTAATATGACAGTCTGTGTGACAGGAGGATTTCTCACATATACTGGGCTTTGGTATTTTTCGCAAATAAAATTCTTTTTTACTCTTGTTCTCACTTACGCTAGTTTGCATCAATAAGATTTCACAAAAAATACTATATAAGCTCGAAAAATATGTTTATCACTTTATTTTGTCTCGTTAAAGGAAATAAAACCGCAAACGCTTTCGAAGTTGATATTGAGAAGGACAAGTCTATTAGCAAACTCAAGGAGGCTATAAAGGCAAAAAAACAAAATGACTTTGCTGGTGTAGACGCAGACAAGCTCAGGCTATGGAAAAAGGAAATTCCTGATGATCAGGATGATCTCTTAAGCAGTCTCACACTTAATAACAGGGACGAGCTTCTTGCAACGAAAAAGATTTCGAAATACTTTCCAGTCTCACCTCCCGAAGAACATATTCATGTTTTAGTCTCTCCGCCAGAGTCCACCACCACTTTGAGTTGTGAACAGGAACTGCTTGAAGAAATTGCCTCATTGAAGGAGAAACTTAGCAAGTCAGAACATGGTAAGTAGTTCAATAATTCACCTCGTTCAGATATACAGACCCCGGCGAAAGTAATGGCACTTAGTTTTTTAATAATTTGTGCGCAATTTTATAATAAAAAATCCAAAAAAAATTTTATTTTCTGAAAGACCGACCAAAATTACATATATTTTATTAATTAATTAATATTTGGTATAGCCTCCTTCTGCGTCAATACATGCTTTAATGCGACTTGACATACTATTAATACAGTTAACTATTGCGATGTTTTCAATATCATCCTATTCCTTCCTAATTAAATTTAAAAAAATTTCTTTTGAGATTTTTTTCTTTTGTGCCACCATTTTCTTGACCTCTTTC